ACACACACACACACACACACAAAAGCACCCGCAATTCAAAAACAGGCAAAGGACTTGAGTAGACATTTCTCCAAAGAATGTGTATAAATGGCAATAAGCACATGAAAAAATGCTCAACATTATTAATCATTAAGAGAATGTGGCCAGGCATGGTAGCTCGTGCCTGTAATCCCAGCACTTTGGGAGGCCAAAGTGGGAGGATCACTTGAGGCCTGGAATTCCAGACCAGCTTGGGCAACATAGCCAGACCTCTTCTCTACAGATAATTTAAAAATTAGCCAGGTGTGATGGTGCACACCTGTAATCCCAGCCACTTGGGAGGCTGAGGTGGGGGGGAGGGGCACTGCTTGAGCCAAGGAATTCAGTGTTGCAGCAGCTATGATCATGCTGCTGCACTCCAGCCTGGGTGACAGTGTGACATGCTGTCCCCCTTACCCCCCCACCAAAAAAAGAAAGAAAGAAAATGCCATTCACAATGAGACCCCTCCTCATGCCCATTAAGATGGCTACTATCAAATAAACAGAAGATAACAAGCGTTGCAAGGATGTGCAGAAACTGAAACCCTCGTATACTCTTGGTGGGAACGTAAAATGGTGTAGCCACTACGGAAAACAGTATGGCAGTTCCTCAAAAAATAAAAACAGAATTACCATGTGATCCGATTCCACTCTGGGTATACACCCAAAATAATCAAGAGCAAGGTCTTCGAGAGTTATTTGCACACCCATGTTCACAGCAGCGTTACTCACAGCAGCCAAAAGGGGGAAGGACCCCCATGTCCACTGATGGATGGTGGATAAACAAGACGCGATCTGTACGTACCACGGAATGTCGTTTAGCCTTAAAAATGAAGGAAATTCTGCTACGACATGGATGAGCCTTGAAGACAATGCGCTAAGTGAGATACACCAGATACGAGAGGACAAATACGGGACGATTCCACTTCCTTGAGGTCCCTAGAGTAGTCAAACTTACAGAGACAGAAAGCAGAAGGGTGGTTGCCAGGGGCTGGGGTAAGGGGTGTGGGGAGTTATTGTTTAAAGGGTATACAGCCTCACTTTAGAAATATGAAAAAGTTCTGGAGTTGGATGGTGGGGATGGTTGCACAATAATGTGAATGTACTTAATGCCACCGAACTGTACACTTAAGAATGGTTAAAAGGGTAAATTTTGTATTCTGTGTATTTCATCACACACACACACACACACACACACACACGCACACACACACACACGCACACGTGTGCGCTGTCGTGGATGCGGCAGGTATTGCTCAGATGCCTCTTCAGGACCAAGATGCCCATCTCCCAGGAGCTGAGTCTTTCTCTAAGAATCGGCTGAAGGGGGCTTCCTCTCCCAAGTTGACACCCCCTCCCTGGGGACAGCCTGCATCCTTCGACTGGTCAACGTGGGGATATGAAAGTCCGAATCCTTTGGCCTCTGAAAGGCCACCCTAGACTTAGAGCTCGCTGGAGCGTTGGCTGTGCCCTCCGTCCCCACTGTTACCACAGTTCAAACTCTCCTGCCCAGGTCTGCCCGTGGGCATCGTTCCCGAGAGCCTCGCCAGTCACTGTCATGCAGGCAAATCTCCGCCTCAGAGCCTGTTTCCTGGGGAATACAACCTAAAAGAATGACTGTGGGGAAATTTCTCTTTTTAAAGGCAATTTAGAGTTGTAACTCCATTTCCCTTCTGCTTGGTACCTGATTCTCAGTCGGTCGTTTTCTGAATAGAGGCGTAAGACGTGCTCCCGTTCTTGGAAGAGGCAGACTTGCATGTCACTCAGAGCTTTCTGCAGCTCGGCGATCTCTTCCTCCCTCTGCTGCAGATCCCATTCGAGTTTATGCTGCCAAAACCAAAAAGACGGCTGAAAAGATGCTGGGTTTCAAAAGAGCACCTGTTATTAGATGTGGAGGAGTGTTTCTTCAGTTCATGAAGAAATATTCCAAAAGTGAAGGGTTTCACCAATACCGAATTCAAATACAGCAACGGGCTGTATGTAGACTTGTTTAAAAGCTACGGGATGAGTATGAAGTTTGCATATAGTGTCAAAGCTCTCATATCTTCTTTTTACAGACTATAGAACCTAAAATGCCGTATGACTCACCTGTTCCATCCACACTTTTTTGGTAATGCTTTCTGTGTTATATGCACTATTATGACATCCAGGAAAATAAAGATGAAAACGTGATTCCCGTCTGCAGAACTGAGGAATTTCATGGGGAGGGAAACATGCAAACGACTGATATAAAATCATCACTTAGTGGAACAGCAGCGTGGTGAAATGGTGGGGGGAGGTGTGGCAGGAGTACGTGTGTCCGAAGCCAGCGGGGATGTCAGAGGCTGCCTCCGGAGAGCTGACGCCCGGAAGACTGGGAGAGAGCCGAGCAGAGGGGGCACTCTCAGAACAGGGGGCAGTAAATACAGCGCCATGAAAGAGCCTGATGTGTTTGTTAAAAAGGAAGGAAGTCCTGTCTCATGCTACAACATGGATGAACCTTGAGGACATTATGCCAGGTGAAATAAGCCAGTCACAAAAAGAAAAATACGGGAGGATTCCACTCTGTTCTAGACAGATTCCACTCTACTTCATAAAGAGCAAAAAGAGTATAGGAAGAGAGGGCAAGGTCGATCTGTGCCTGTATCACTTCACTTCAATCCTTGGGATAATAATGTTATCATGGGTAATAGGGATTAAAGTGATTATGGTTTTATTGGAATAAAAATCTAACTTTATTGAACATAGGGATAGATGGATTTTCAAATTAGTTATTTTTGCTTTATGATTTTTGCTTTTATAAGTAATGACGATCTACAGCAAAACTTACCAAGTGGTACTATATAAAGATATTTGTCTATTCTTTGTCAATTTTAGATTTTGTTTCAATTCTATATTCATAGTGTATTTAACTCTATAGAGAAATACTTGTGATTGGACTATCGATGAAGGGCAATGCATGGTATATGCACTGCTGAAGCTGCTTATAGAAAATGCATCAACCTCTCTACAGAAAACTTCAAGGTACACATTTGTATTTTATGTAAAAATTCAGGTTTTACTTATTCTTACATTGGTGGGAGTTGCTGTCAGTAACTTAAAGGCAAGCAAATACTTTTGTTTACTACCCCTTAGTGCAATAAAAACACATGTAATGTGGCATTTTCATTAGGCAAGACTGGCTTTTTACATTTCACACAAGAATTCAATATAGGCCAGGCGTGGTGGCTCACACCAGTAATCCTAGCACCCTGGGAGGTCAAGGGGGGTGAGGATCACTTGAGGTTAGGAGTTCGAGACCATCCTGAGCGAGACCCCGTCTCTACTAAAAATAGAAAAATTAGCCGGGCACGGTGGCACGAGCCTATAGTTCCAGCTCCTTGGGAGGCTGAGGCAGGAGGATCACTTGAGCCCAGGAGTTTGAGGTTGCTGTGAGCTATGATGATGCTACTGCACTCTAGCCCAGGCAATGGAGCAAGACTGTCTCAAAAAAAAAGGAAGAATTCAATATAACCCTTTCTTGAACAAAATGTCCAGGGTAATAACAAAACTATCTTTGGAAGAAGTATTTAATAAGCATACTTTATTTAAATACATCCTCCAGAAGGAAATGGAGAAACTTAGAAGGCGGCTGTGCAAATAATTCTCTCTCAAATGCATCTGTATAGCGTAGCAACGTTTCCTTATTGGAAACGTCCGTATTTCTGTATCACAGTCCCCAAAAGGACTTTAAAGTCTCAAAACTCGGTGTGTCCCTCGGCTTGCTTCCCCTTCACTCCACCCGGGCCTCGTTAATGGTCATCCCATCATTATCTCTGTCTTCATAAATGTTCTTCAGGACGTTCCTAGTCCTCGCTGGGACCTGCTTCGGTGTCGCAGGAGGGCTTGCCTCTCCCTCTCCTTGCATCCTTTCTCAAAGTGAGCCAGGCGGGCCCACTGTGTTCTCCGCTTGCTTTCTACATCCAGCTCTACCAGTCTCACCTCTTTCTGAACTGCCTTCCGCAGAGATGGGTGTGAAGACGTTGTTCCCGGTCATGGAGCAACCCTTCCCAGTTAGATGTAGGGTCCTCGCCAAACAATCAAATGGCTTTTCTGAGCAATGTACCTGCACATTCGTGGTGGGGGCTCAACGACTCCAGCTACGTAACGTGGACTTCCGCAAGTGTGTCTGACTGATCCCATCCATGGTGGACTGACTGTCACCGTACACCCTGTTACGATGGGAACAACCAGAATAGCTGGCTTTTTAGTGGAAGGACATTCTGCTATCTTGTGTGGCTTCTGCTGCATTGTGTTCTTTTTTCTTTTGTAATTGAGATTGTATTGGCTGTGTGGAGAATCAGTACACAGACACTTCAATTTGTACACGGTTCTTAACACACATGCCAAAAATCTGAAAAGCCATGTATTGTCATTCTCTTTTAAAGTTATTCCAGTGACTTTCCAGCTTGAAATTGGAAGCAAATTTTCCTTAAAAAGGTATCAAATACCAGTATCTTCAAATTTTGATGAGCTGTTACATAAGTCCTACCAAGTCAGAATTTAGTATCATGTGCACTACACACTCAAATTTTCAATCTTTCATGGCACATTAACAAAGTTAATAGGAAAACAGGATTACTGACAACCAAAGACGTTATAGAGTGCACACAATTCTGACAGGGAGGGCCACAGTCAAGGAGTGGTTTTCTTTCTTTTTTCTGAGCCAGGGTCTCCCTCTTTTGCCCAGGCTGGAGTGCAGTGGTATCATCACAGCTCACTGCAGCCTCAAACACCTGGGCTAAAGCGATCCTCCTGCCTCAGCCTCCCTAGTAACTGAGACTACAGGCGCTTGACACTACGCCTGGCTAATTTTTTAATGTTTTTTACAGACGGCGTCTCTGCTATGTTACTCAGGCTGGTCTCGAACTAACTGGCCTCAAGCAATCCTCCCACCTCAGCCTCCCAAAGTGCTGAGATTACAGACGTGAGCCACTGAGCGCAGACGTGGTGTGTGGTATTAATCAGACGTGGCTTCTTTCTCTCCTGCTTCATCGGAGGCTGGACTCTTGGTTTTAGTTTCTCCATTTTCTGCAGGTGAATCTTCTTTAGTTTCTTGGTTAGCCACTTTGGCGTGCTTTCCCTGTGCTCCCCTTCTACTTTTGCTTGTACTTTTTTGTCTGAAGATTTACCCTTCCCTGCTGTCTTGTTTGGCTTCATTTCCACTTTTGCAGAAGCAAGTTTAGCTGACAACCTCACCTGTCTTCTCTGGGGCCCTTCCTTCCCAGCCGCCTCGGCTGAGCTGACCTCCCACTTGGGAACCCTGGTGGCGGGAGGGTGCCTGCTGGGTTTCTGGGAGCCTCTGTGAAGCTGGGCTGCCGGGTGCTGCCCCTCCTCCAGCTGCTGAGCTGCTGAGCTGCTGTCTTGCTTTCTGTTTCAACCTTGGATTTTTCAGCTGTAAGGACATCAGGTACTCTTTTTCTAGTGGTCTTTCCCAGCAACACTGTCGTCTTTTCTATAGTTTTCTGCAGCTCTTCCAAAACTGAAGCCATGGTTAAGCTGGGCCAGGCCAAAGGCCCTAGCTATAGCCTCGCAGGGGAGTGAACAGGAAATGGCACACCCAGTGTGCTGACAATCCCCTCCTCGGCACACACCCAACCCTGTGCCAGATTGTGGCCCATCTCTGGCACTTGGCACCTCAATTCTATGATCAGTTAAAAAAAAAAATCCAGGCTGGGTGCGGTGCCTCACGCCTGTAATCCTAGCACTCTGGGAGGTGGGTGATTGCTTGAGCTCAGGAGTTCGAGACCAGCCTGAGCAAGAGCAAGACCCCCTCTCTAAAAAAAAAAAAAAAATCCAGGCTGGGCGCGGTGGCTCACGCCTGTAATCCCAGCACTCTGGGAGGCTGAGGTGGGCGGATTGTTTGAGTTCAGGAGTTCGAAACCAGCCTGAGCAAGAGCGAGACCCCGTCTCTACTAAAAATAGAAAGAAATTAATCGGACAACTAAAAATATATAGGAAAAATTAGCTGGGCATGGTGGGGCTGAGGCAGGAGGATCGCTTGAGCCCAGGAGTTTGAGGTTGCTGTGAGCTAGGATGACGCCATGGCACTCACTCTAGCCCGGGCAAAAGAGTGAGACTGTCTCAAAAGAAAAAAAAAAAAAATCCAGAAGTATATATATATACATATGTGGTGTGATAAAAATGACATATAAATGTTTCCCCCCAAAAGCCTACTATATCTGGATGACTACAAGTATCTCAGTGTGGCCAGAGTGAAAAGCACGAGGCAGAGTGGGGAGGTGAGAGACCAGAGGCTGGGGCGCTGGGGAGCCGGCTGTCGTGCCAGCTGGGTGGGACACGAGGGCCTGAACTGGCCTCATGGCAGCAGTGAGAGAGGGGTGGGAAGGGAGTGGGTGCTACGTAGGCAGCAGAATCAGCAGGACTTGCCGAGTGATGAGATGCAGGGGGCGGGGCAGAACTGCAGGCAACGCTACCAGTAACTATGACAGAGAATGAAGGAGATGTTGAGGGTGAGGCACGGAGGGAGGGAGACGGTAGCAGTATGTGTGTGTGGCGGGAGAGGAGGGCAGGAAAAGACCAGCTCCGATGTGGAGCTCAGGAGGAGGGTGAGTCGGGGTTCGTTATGTGGAACTCACCATCACACACGCAGTCGTATAACGCCCGGACACGATGAGATTACTCACAGGAGAAGCTGGAGGAACTTCGACATTTTAAGACTAAGAAGGGGAGCTGTTAATGGAGACTGTGAAGAACTGATCAGAGAGGTTAGACAGAGACTGGCAAAGAAAAATGATGCAGAAATCAAGAAAGGAAGAGAATTTTAGGAAAGGTGAGGCAGATAGTGACAAACCCCACAGAGGCCAAGAAAAGAAGGGTAAGTCTGGCAAGCAGGTGCTGGGAGACCACAGGGGGCACAGTTTCAGTGGAACGGTGGGGACAGAGACAAAACTGCAGTCGAGGACTTCCCCACTCGGTGAATGGGAAAGTCAAACTATTCTAGAAATGAGGTTGGTGAGAAAAGAAAGAGCCATCTGTCTATCTATAGAAAAAGAGTAGCAGGGCCGGGCATGGTGGCGCACACCTGAGTCCCAGCTACCGGGGAGGCTGAGGCGGGAGGATCGCTGGAGCCCAGGAGTTTTTGAGACTGCAATGAGCAACGTTCACACCACTGCACTTCAGCTTGGGCGACAGAGTGAGACCATGTTTCAAAAAAGAAAGAGCAAAAGGTAAAACCCATCTTTAGTTGTGCTTCCCTCTCTAGGTACTCTTTTTTTTAGAGTGCAATCACAGCTCACTGCAGCCTTGAACTTGAACTCCTGGGCTCAAGCAATCTTCCTGCCTCAGCCTCCCCAGTAGCTAGGACTGGAGGTGTCAGCCACCAGGCCAGGCTTACTTTTCCTTTGGGTTGGGAAAGAAAGTTGAATATGTTTATATACTAAGGAGAAAAAGCTAACGTCAAGCAAGTGGTTAAAAACACAACAGAAAGAGGAGAGAAATGATGGAGCAGTTTCAAAGGAGGAAAAAGGGACAAGGGCCAGAGTAAGTATTGGATCAATCCAGGCCGGATAGGCAAAAATGGCGCCTTCTTCCCGAAGCAACGAGAAAGAAAGAAACGGACACAGATGCAGGTGACCGTGTGTGGATGGGCAGGAAGGGAGCTCGTGTCCAAAGGGGGAGCTCGGACGCAAGATGGCCTGGTAAGAGAGGAAGGCTAAGAGGAGGCTGCGGGCTGGAGGGGAAGGTATGGCACAGATGTGCAGGGAGAGGGAACTGAGTATGGATAGGCAAGAAAATTGCTGTGTAGTGGCTGCGGGTACAGCTAGATTGTTTACCCTCAGTTCATTCTGTAATGATTTGTGATCTTTCTAGAACAGTGGTTGTCAATCAGGGATTTTGTACACATACCCCTACTACCCTCACACACCCCCACAGAAACATCTGGCAATGTCTGGAGATACATCATCCATCCTTCTTCCCTCCCTCCCTCCCTCGCTTCCTTCCTTCTCTCTCTTTTCCTTTCCTTTCCCTTCCCCCTTCCCCCTTTTGCCCTGCCTTTGTCCTGTCTTTGCCTTGCCTTTTCTTTCATTCCTTCCCTTTCTTTGACACAGAGTCTTGCTTTGTTGCTGCAGCTGGAGTTCAGTGGCATCATCATAGTTCCAGCAACCTCAAACTCCTGGACTCAAGTGATCCTCCTGCCTCAGCCTCCCATCTAGCCGGGGCTACAGGTGCAGGCCATCACACCCAGCTAATTTTTCTCTTTTTGGTAGAGATGGGGTTTTGCTCTTGCACAGGCTGTCTCAAATCCTGACCTGAAGTGATTTTCTCGCCTCAGCCTCCCAGAGTGCTAGGATTACAGGCGTGAGCCTCTGCGCCCGGCCTGGAGACATTTCTTGATGGTCACAACAGGGAGTGTTGTGCTATTGATATCTAGTGGGTGGAGGCCAAGGATGAAGCCAAACATGCTCCCATGCACAGGAGAGCCCTCACAGGCAAGAATCAGCCAGGCCAAAATGTCAGCAATGCTGAGGTTGAGGAATTCTGCTCCAGGAGGAGGAATCACAGAGAACTGGATTAAGCCGCAGCTGGGTTTTTGCTACGCAGGTGGAGCAAAAGAATAATTGAGCAAGGGGTTGTCTGTAGACAGTTTAGTTACTATCGAAGTACAGCATCGTGAGGTTTAGGTTAGAAGAGAAGGGCATGATGTCAGAAGTCGATACACAGCACTTAGAAAACTGACAAGTCAAGAAGCTACGGAGGTAACAATGAAGTTAAGGGGCAGTCAGTGTAAGGGGGTGAAAGAACTAAAAATGTAAGAGAGGCGGAGATGTCAGAATTTAAGATTTTAGAGATAGAGCAGTTTTGAGGGTTATGATCCAAGGAGGGTCCTAAAAGGTAGGTAGCTTGGCTAGGGAATCAAAAGAGAATATATTTTAAAAAATTTGTTTTTATCATAATTTTCTTTGTAGAGACAGACCTTGCTATGTTGCCCAGCTGGTCTCGAGCCTGCCTTGGCCTCCCAAAGTGCTGGGATTATAGGCGTGAGCTAACAGGCCGGGCAAGAAAGAATATTTTTATAAAATACCTGCTTGTGGTACAAGCTAGCACTTCTAGAGCTTCTCTGCTTAATGAGTAGACTTACGGGAGTCCTGAAAGGGCGCGCACCGTCTCCTTCTTACCTGTGCTTCACAAGCTTCTTTGTAGAGCTCCAGTTTCATCAACAGCTCCTCGTTTTCTGCCTCACACTCAGCCATCTTCTTTTGATAATATTCCAGAAGCTCCTGAGAAGGGCAGAGGAAGGCCAGACGATCTTCAAGGGAAGGCAAGGGAGTGGACTCCACCGACTCTGCCATTCCCCCCCGCTTGGCGGCACCCCCGATGCCGGAGGCAACACTGGGCTTGGAGACACTTGTCAGCCTATGCAAAAGTAGAAGGATGTATTCATTAAACTGTGGACATTTATGAAACATTATCATTTTTTAAATAAAAAGGGGGCTTATGTTTTGAAGTGTTTATAATTAAGGTGCTCATAATTCTTGAAAGCTTGATAGTACAGGTTAACGAATAATTTTATGAATTATCTTCCAAGTATCAATGGTTTAAAGCTAGATTCAAAATACATGTTAGGCCAGGCGCGGTGGCTCACGCCTGTAATCCTAGCTCTCTGGGAGGCCG